AAGGCTGAAGGCACTGGAAAAAAAGAGTCACAGCAAACTCACTGTTCTTATTACTATGACATTTTCAAAGCAAGAGGAGAAAACAAAGGTATTTTTAAAACAATTTCTAGAAATGCATATGCTTGAACCATAAAATATACCTTAGACCATCTGTAAAGAGTATAAAGATATAATTTAATACACAACAAATACTACATTTGAAAGAGATGCAGTTTAGCTTTGGTAAGAAGAGTAGAGAACCTGAATTTTTAAATCAATCAACAAGTTACAATTTCACAAGACCTTAATTTACCAGATTTACAAAATTCGAGGGTTAAATTAAGATATTTCTAAGATCTCTCCAAATCTCATTCTATCCAAGTCGCAGCTCAAATGTCACCTTACCAGGGGCCATCTCTGGCCACCTCTTAAAGTGGCACCTGCACACTGCTCTTAAAATCATCTCACACTGCTTTATTTTCAAGGTACATATTATTAGGCCTACTATATATAGTCATGTGCCAGATAATAATGATTCAGCCAATGATGGACCACTTACTATGAGCATGGTCCTATAAGACAGTAATATATTTTTACCGTACCTTTTCTATACAGTATTTAGATACACAAACACTTGTCATTGTATTACAACTGCCTACAGTATTCAGTGTAGGAACAAGCCACAGGTCTGTAGCCTAGGAGCAATAGGCTATACCTATAGCCAAGGTGTGTAACGGGCTATTCCATCTAGGTGTGTGTAAGTACATTCTTTGATGCTTGCATGACGATGAAATCGCCTAATGACACATTTCTCAAAACATATCCTGCTGTTTAAATGGTGCGTAACTGTATTTATTTCTTCTCTCACCAAGACACAGAATCCACACTAGGAACTCGGTCAGCTGTGCTGCATCACCAGGGTCCAGAACACTAAGTAGCATCTAGTAGGTATACAAATAGTTTTTCAATGAAAGCACAGACCCATTCTAGCTCCGCAGTTCAAAATACTAGGTTCAGTGAAGCAACCTTGTATTTGTAGCCAAATACAAAATTCTAACAGTGGCCGGGCATGGTGGCTCAAGCCTGTAATCCCAGCACTTTGGGAGGCTGAGGCCGGTGGATCACGACGTCAAGAGATCGAGACCATCCTGGTCAACACGGTGAAACCCCATCTGTACTAAAAACACACAAAAAATTAGCTGGGCATGGTGGTGCGTGCCTGTAATCCCAGCTACTCAGGAGGCTGAGGCAGGAGAATTGCCTGAACCCAGGAGGCGGAGGTTGCGGTGAGCCGAGATTGCGTCATTGCACTCCAGCCTGGGTAACAAGAGCGAAACTCCATCTCAAAAAAAAAAAAAAAAAAAAATTTTAACAGTGATTTAAGAATATAATTTTCAACAAAATTTAAGGGTACAGGACTTGAATATTGGTAAGAAATTATATTAAATCATATTAATATGCAACTATTACTGAAGCTAACATATGAATGATCAGGTCAGGTTCAAATCCTAGCTCTACTCTTTACTGTGTAACCTTAACTTCTCTTTGTCTCAGTTTGTAAAGCAGTGATTAAAAATAGCATGGGCCAGGCATGATGGCTCATGCCTGTAATCCCAACACTTTGGGAGGATGAGGTGGAAGAACTGCTTGAATCCAGGAGTTTGACCAGCCTAGGCAACATAGCCAGAACCTGTCTCGACAGAAAAAAGAAAAAAAATTAGCTGGGGGTGGTGGCACATGTTTGTAGTCCTAGCTACTTGGAAAGCTGAGGCAGGAGGATGGCTTCAAACCAGGAATTTGAGGCTGCAGTGAGCTATGACAGCACCACTGAACTACCTCCTGGGCAACAGAGCAAGATCCTAGCTCTAAAAAAAATGGAAAAAAAACAACAGCAGCTACTTCAGTATCAAGAGGATTTTTAAAGATTTTAGAGTGTTTATGACAATATACCTAAAAAAGTAGGGAAAAGAACTGGAAAAATGCTTCTGGTCATTATTTCCTCCTATAATTATAAATTAAAGATAGGGCTTTAGCAACAGGAAATTTACTTTTATTTTTTAAAATATGTACAATACAATGCTCATTTTTAAAATATTATTTTCTCCACAAGTAAACAGAGAAGACAAGTTTGTGGTTATATACGGTTTTCAAGTAAACAAGTAAAAATAATTAAAATAAAAAATCAAAAAGGTAAAATGTAAAAATGTGCTGAAGTAGAATATGTGAAAGGGGGATCGGGACACATGCAAAGCTCCGGCTAAGACATACAGCACCAGAGGGGCATCCACGCCTGTCACCTCTGCAGTGGATCTGGGTAGGGCTCAGCCCACTGGGACCTGGATTCCATGTGATGGCGGTGTGCACAGCTGGGCCAGACATTGCCAGTGTGCTGTCTTTGGACTGGTGGGCTCCCTCCAGCCATCGTCCTTGTATGTACAATCACTGGCAGTTCTGCCTCAAGGGAATACATATACTGCTCATAAAAAGGTATACAGATTTAAATTTAGATCCAAGCAGGCATCAGCCCAGCCATTTGAACCTGAAAGCTGGGAGAAAGATTCTGAAAATTGGTTGTGCTGCTGGGTTTGTCCTCAGGATATGGGCTGGATTGATACAAACAGGTTTCTGGCTGGACAGGCAAGCAAGTAACGATGGCATGATCAATGCTTGGTGAAGTCAAGTCTGCATGATTCTGAAGAACTGACTAGTTCTGGATCCTGACATTTGTCTAGACCCTAATGTTGCCCAAATGGGGTTCCGAATACAGAGCATCAGCTGTCCCTCAAGCTATGGCATGGTTAGCTGTAAATCCTGAATTCACCCCCACATCCTAGGACAGAGAAGAAATGAAGCAGGTTTTATAGGGTTCAGCTACTACATAGTCATCCAGGGCGAAGAGAGAGCAATGAGAAGCATTTCAGCAGCCTCTACAGCAACAGAGTTGGCTTCTGTCACATATGGCAGCAAAGACAGCCAAGGGAAACAGCCAGAGCTTCAAGTAGTTGACTCTGGAAATGACTTCTTGGGTGACCACAGTGGCAGCCAACCCACTTAGCACCTGTTGGTGGCTATTTGCACAGCTACCAACAGGTGATCTGAAAGACTCAGGTCATTCATTTGCAACAGTACATTTTAAATTCCAAGCTAGAAAAAATAAGTACTACATGGGAGAGTGAAAAGAAGGTAGAAACATCTAAATAAATCATGTTTAAAGCTTCCTGATACAGTGTTGATCCTCCGGGGAAAAATCATAATACAAGTCAAAGCTGGCTTGAAAAAGGGGTCTTAAATACTGGTGTTAGCCTGATGACAAAGAATCAAATGAGCAACCGGCATCAATAATGCCAATAGATTTCATAATATTAATCGACATATACCTTCTACTGTCTAAAGGCTGGGGCTTCTTTAGCCAGTGAGCACCACATAACCAAAGGAGAAAAGGGGAAAGGGAAATTTACAACATGCACCATATGCAAGTAAACACTACAGTTTGCCTACCTACAACCACTTAAGGGTTAAGACAAAAGCTGTCTGGAGCCCCTACGTGGGTTCCTCCTTTGACAGCTGTGGGATCGCAAGAAGATGACAGTTACACTATGTTTCAGTTTGTTCATCTGAGAAAATGAGCCACCATCTAATGAGGTGGTTCTTGTTTTTCTGATAGACTAATATACTAGGCTCATAGACTTAAAGCACTTATGACAGCACCTGGCATACAGCAAGCACTCAATATATGTCAGCTACTTCTCATTTCCCTCACAGCACCCTCGAGAGGAAAATAAAACCCCACAATTAGGTCAACAGTGTTTTCCACTCACAAAGGAGGCATTTTGCAAAGACAGGTAATTCACCTGCTCAGAGATACAGAAAGTGACAGAAGTAAGTAAACGCCATTCTCTTTCCACTGTGCAAGGCTGGCCGTGTTATTTACACTGTTACCAGCTAAGGCCTACTACAAAATAAAAAAGTCACATACCTCTCAGTGAATGACACTTCCTCAAGGAAGTCAGATTGTGCTAAAAGGAAATCAGGTTGTGCTAATCTTGACGTCTCATCTCAACTTAAAAAAAAAAAAAAAAGGTATTGTTTTCCCAGGTACACAATGCTGAAGAAAACTGCTGCTAAGTTTTAAAAACAACCGACCATCTCCAAGTGAGTTCGGTAGACCCAGGCCCTTTCCAAACAAAGCCATAAGGGAAATCACATAGAGAAAGGGGAAAGAGAAAGGGAGAGATTGATGGGTAAAAGACCCAAAACAACTTCAAAACAAAAAAATGTACACATGTATTTTGTCCCAAAGGCATCTGCTACGATTTATTAAACTAAGGCCAATAGCTCCCATTCTTAATGAATGAGCTGGCGCATCTCCAATACACACACTGCAGGGGCCGTTTTTCCCTCCGGGAGACACCTGACAGATCACAGATCAGTCTTAAACAACTGGAAGCAAGATGTCCACGAGCAGATAAAATGGGCTTGCTCTTTTTTTTTTCCATTCCAGGGATCGAATTTTTAGGAACTGGTTAATACAAGACATTAGCCCGGGAGGTCAGGAAACCTGATTTCCAGGCCTAAGGTGGTCCAGGCGTCTCTCTCCAGGGGCGGGCTCCGCAAGCCGCCGGGCTGGGTGCTCCTCCGCCCGCCCCTCCCTCGCCCCCTTGGCATCCTCGGGAGGCCGGCGGCGGCAACAAGGCTGCCCCGGGCTACCTGCCATCTCCCCCGCCACCCCTCCAACAGTTGCTTCAGATTCAAGAGAGGCCGCCCTGGCCCCGGGAGCACGCTGTCAGCTCTTTTCTCGACTCGCCGCCCTGCCCAAAGGCGGCTGCAGGAGGGCGCGAGGCGGCGTGGGTGGCAGCGGCGGGAAGTCGCCCGACCGGACCCCTGGCGGAGACGGATCCCGCGGAGCGCGCGCTGCAGCCGGAGGGGTGAGGCCCGGGCGGCCCGTACCCCGGCCCTGGACCCCAGCCCCGCAGCCCCGCGGACCCGGCCGACTCCGACGCCCCGCGCCGCCGCGCACTCACCGCCGCACTCGGCAGAGTACTGGTCCCCCCAGTCCCCGGACTGCGGGCTGCAGCCGCCGCCGCCGGCTGGGGCCTCCTGCTGCTGCCGGTGCTGCAGCTCCTGCTTGAGTAGGGATAGCGGCGAGTAGTGCTCGGTGGCCAGGGCGCCCGGCCCTGGCACGGCGGATAGGACCACCAGCAGCAGCAACAGCAGGAGACGCCGGGCGGCGCCCGCGGCGGCCACAGCGCCGCCCCAGAAGCAGCAGCAGCAGCAGCAGCCGGCAGGTGCCATCTTCCCTCAAGGCGCATGTGCGGCAGCCCTAGCTCGGCTCTCAGGCCGCCCTGCCTCTAACCCACGGCGGACAGGTGGACCGTGGCAAGGGGGCGGGGCAAGGGGAGAAGCAATGCATGCTGGGAAGGGTAGTCCCATCTCGGCCAGCCCCGGGCCGCCTTGCCGGTGCTGGGACTACCAATCCCAAAAAGCCGCGCGCGGCGCAGGTCTTCCGGTCTGGCGTCTGACGTCTTACCCGCCACAGACTCGGAAGTTCTGGGCTGTTGTTGAGTGGCAATGGGCAACGGCGGGCGGAGCGGGCTGCAGCAGGGAAAGGGGAACGCGGAAGGGATGGCAGCGACTCCTACTGCTGCCTCGGCCTCCTGCCAGTACAGGTGCATCGAATGCAACCAGGAGGCCAAAGAGTTGTACCGAGACTATAACCACGGTGTGCTGAAGATAACCATCTGTGTGAGTTATCAGGTGTGGGGTGTCCTTGGGAAGAAAATGGCGCGGCGGGACTTGGGGACAGCGAGGAGCAGGGTCCTCTGATACTGTCGTTAGTTCGGTGGTTGACATTCCCGCCCGAGAACTCAACTATCCGACAGCGCTTTTCTCATACTGGGGCATATTTGGGTGATATGACCTAAGCCGGCGAACGGACCGGACAGACAGATAGAAGTGGACAATTTGCAGAGAAATTTAAAGATCGAACTAGGTTGACATTTTGGTTCATGCCAAAGCTACTTCATTCTAGCTCTTCTCTCTTTGACAGAGAGGTACTACCATCCTTACCCTCCACACCCATGTTGAATTCACCTACGATGCTTTTTAAAGGTTTCATCAATTGTAGTTATTGGATGTCTACTGAGTACAAAGCACTATTCTAGACGCTGGTGGTACAAAACCCAGAAGTGAGGAAGTAAAAATTTTTGTTTCAAGGTGTTCGTAGTTTATTAAGAGAGAATAATCTTATGTTTAAAGAGTCTACAAAGTTGGAGGTTCTTGGGGTATTAACAAAGAACCTGTCACAGAGTAGACAGTACATTTTTGTCCCATTTCAGATCTTGTGATTTTCTGATAATCTCTTTAGTAAATTATGGTCTGTAGTAATATACAAGAGAATAGACATACTGAGTATACACCTATATAATCTAGTGTCACCACTTAACGTTCTGGTGCATACACCCTCAATTTCCTGTTCTTCTCTCAAATGCTTCCCCTCCTTTATGAAAATGTCAACTCTTGTAAATCCAGCATATTGCCCGGTCTGTCCCTGAACCTGTGCAGCTGTAAGTTGCTGGGGAAAGCAACTTATATTCGTGACCATTTACCTCACATAGGCCCTTCATGCTGTCTGGCAATCGTTTTTCTTTCTTTTTTTTTTTTTTTTGAGTCTCCCCTAGGCTGGAGTGCAGTGGGGCAATCTCAGCTTACTGCAACCTCCACCACCTGAATTCAAACGATTCTCCTGCCTCAGCCTCCCAATTAGCTGGGATTACAGGCATGAGCCACCATGGCCAGCTAATTTTTGTATTTTTAGTAGAGATGGGGTTTCACCATGTTGGCCAGGCTGGTCTTGAACACTTGACCTCAAATGATCTGCCCGCCTCGGCCTCCCAAAGTGCTGGGATTACAGGCATGAGCCACTGTACCTGGCCCTGTTACATTTCCTTAGTCCACTCATGTTCCCACTCTTCATGACAATCATCACGTAACTTTTCTGCCTTTGAATTTCCCATGTGTCTTCCTGTTATGCTAAGAAAACGGAAGAGAACTTCTAACAAATTTGCAACAACATAAACCCAATACTAGCATTTGTTATTTCTTTACTGTACTCTGTCTTTTTCTGCCTTCTGCTGGATCATTCTCACCAGCATACATACTGTTATTTCTTCCATTAAAAAAAGTAAAACCAACACCACCAACAAAATACACTTGATGCCACTTCCCCCTTTAGCTTGTGCTCTTCTTCATTAGATAGCAAAACTTCTAAGATCTGTTTGTACTATCCCTTTCCTAGTTTCTTTTGAACCTGCTTTAGTCAGATTCCCAACCACATTTCATTAGAAACTGTTCTTGTTAAGATCACCACTTCCATTTTGCTAAATCCAGTAGTTGATTCTCAGTTAATGATCAGCAAACCTGTTATAAGTTCTCTTCTGTTTTCTTAGTGTAATGGGAAGACACATGGGAAATTCGAAGAGAGAAAAGTTATGTGATGATTGTCATGAAGAGTGGGAATGTGAGTGAACTAAGGAAATGCAACAGAGCCGGGTACAGTGGCTCATGCCTGTAATCCCAGCATTTTACCTTATTACGTCCTCCTCCTCAGTGCTGTATGTGCTTCCCAGGAGTCGTTGCGCTTCTTCTTGTCTTCTTACTTCACCGGCTATTACCCCTCAAACTCCTTTCTTTTGCTTCGTCTTCTCTTTAATTGTGCTGTATTCCAAGGCGTAGTCATTGGGCCTCCTGTCTGCATGCTTTCCCTTGAAGAGCTCGTTCTGTCTCATGGCTTTATTTTGATGATTTCCAAATTTATATCTCTACCCTGAACCTATTCCCTGAACTCCAGATTCAAATGTCCAACTACCCACTTGACTTCTCCACTTGGATTTCAATAGACACCTCAAATACCCCATCACATTTAGTGGCAACTTTACCATTTTAATCAAGAAACCTTGGAGTCATCCCTATTTCTGCTTCTCCTCTCACATCCCATATTCAGTTACTCAGCAAATCCTGTTCCACCTTCAAATCATGTTCAGAATCCACTACTTTCACTACTGCTGCTGCTACGTCCTCATCCAAGCCACCATCACGTCTACCTGAACTATTGTTGTAACTTCTGTCTCGTGTCTCTGCATCATCCTTGCACCTCTTCAGTCTTCTCTCCACACAGTAGCCAGGGACTGATCTTTTAAAAATGTAAGTTAGATCATATCATCCCTTTGACCAAAACTTTCTGATGATTTTTCATCCCAGAGTTAAGGCTAGAATCCTTGAACCGGCTTATAAGGCCCCGTGTAGTCTCCTGCTACTCTTTCCCTTCCTTATTTTACATCAGTCCCACTGGCCTCCTGGTGTTTCTGAAACCAGACAGGTTCCTTCCTCAGGGCCTTTGCACAATTCCTGGAGCAGGTACTAGATAGATACTATTCTATCAAGTATCTGTGTGACTGTTTCCCTTATCTCCTTCAAGCACTTTTTCAAACATCTCAGAGAGGTCTACTGTGACTACCCTCTTGAAAAGTATGATATGCTTCCCAGCTCTATCTTTGTCCGTTGCAGCGATCTTCTTGTAATCTTATATATAATTGGCTTATTGTTGTGTGTCTTTTACTGGAAAGTCAGCTGCAAGGACAGACATTCTCTTTTACTCATTAATGTAGCTGTATCACCCAGAACAGTGACTGACACTTAGTAGCCACTCAGTAAATATCTGTTGAATAAATGTATCACTTCCAGATTTTTAGATTAGCATATGCTCGGCCATCCAGGTAGGAGGAAGAGAACAAGATCTTATCTGTGGTCTAAATTTAATAACTGTTGGACTGGTCCAATTAAATGGTCCATTTGGAAGATGATAACCACATAACTTGTCTGAAGAAAAGCCAGTATTTGTATATGCATTTTAATTAGTAGTCTTTAATAATACAAAATAATCTCTTTTTATTGGCATTAAGCTAACAAAATCCCTTTGCTAAACCACAGATGTTTATTCTTTTATTTATGGAAAGGCAAAATAATTATTGGATAGCTGTTTAGGTCAAAATTCACTTCCCCCCTCCCCTTTTTTCCCTAACATCATACACTTTCTCCCAGGAGACAGATTTTTAACGTCATGCTCTTTCTCCCAGCAGACAGATTTTGGAGTTATATTTGGCATGTTGAATGGTGACACGGTACTTTATGGATCCGTTATTGTCCACAGTCATTCTGTAATGAGTTGGAGTGTGTAATGGCCTTGTCTCAATCATGCTAATGCGTACTAAACTTTAACCATCATAGCGTGACTCAGGAAAAATCATTTCGTTGATGTCAGGCTAAAAAATTAAACCATGAAGCGATTAATTCCTTTAAAGGCTCTCCAGCCTCTGAAATATAAAAAGCAAGAAGTCTTTAGACATTAGACTATTTGTTGTGACATAGTCTCCCAAGTTTCTGAGTGGTTACTCATGCATACTTTGGTCTCTTCCCTACTAAACATGGAGTCAGCAAGATACTCGGGCTGATTGCCCACTTGTATTTTTCATCCCAATCTCCTTTCCTTTTGCTCTGTTTGTTTTTCCACTGCCATTCCTCCCAGCTTGCATTTCTGTGTTTGTCTGACTTTCCTCTATCTAATATATCATGTGGCCCTCATTTTAGCCAATCCTGCTGCTTCAGCTCTTCACAATTTATTGTAGTTATGCTTAAAGATATAGTACTTTTGATTTGCTATAGGGCTTGGCTTATTTTAAGTGCTCAAATATTTGATAAATTCATTATTACGTTAACAAAACAAAACTCCTGTAAGATTCTCCTAAGTTTCCATTCCCTTCAGCACTACAGCATTTGGCTCCCACCCTTAGGATGCGAGATTCAAAGATGAATAAGACACAGCCCTACCCTTGAGTAGCTTAAAGACTTAAAGAAGGGAAGGGAGTGCTCCTAGAGATGACCAGGAAGGAAACAGAATATTTAAGAAAAAATTGGTTTGGCCAATTTATATTCTAAAAGAGACCTGATTCATTTAGGCATTGGAGAACACAGCAGGACAAAGGAAGTCATATCCATATTAAGACAGGTGGTGGAGGCTGGGTGCAGTGGCTCATGCCAGTAATCCCAGCACTTTGGGAGGCCGAGGCAGGTGGATCATGAGGTCAGGAGTTTGAGACCAGCCTGACCAACATGGTGAAACCCCATCTCTACTAAAAATACAAAAATTAGCCATATGTGGTGGTGCATGCCTGTAGTCCCAGCTACTCAGGAGGCTGAGGGAGGAGAATCGCTTGAACCGGGAGGTGGAGGTTGCATTGAGCCGAGATTGCCCCACTGAACTCCAGCCTGGGCAACAGAGTGAGACTCCATCTTAAAAAAAAAAAAAAAAAAAAA